CCCCCCCCCCCCCCCCCCCCCTCTCTCTCTCTTGCTCTCTCTTTCTCTCTCCCTCTCTCTCGATCTGTGAGTCTTAGTGTACCTGTTGTTCCATCCATGTACATGTGCTCCTCCCTCCCTCTCTCTCACACGCGCGGGCACACACATTTGGCTTTCGCTCCTTCTCTCGCATAACGGATGTGTTGTGCTTATGTGTAAGAAAGTTTCCTTCGCTGCCTGTCGTTCATTGCACATGAGGTGAGACTGAAACAAGATGGCATGTTGCGTGCAGTATTGCTCACCTTCTTTGATTTTCCGGTCTCGTTCGGGAGAATTTATCGAGTCTATGAGCCACTACACCAACCAGTAGGTATTTGCTATGTCCTTGTCCATTCACTGTGTGTGATTTGTTTGGCCATGCACCACTCGTCCCCCCCCGTCTAACCTAAATATACGTTGTCGGCCCGTTGTCTCCCACATGATCGGCAAGGGGGGCGTGGCTTCCACCGATCAGCAAAGGGGGCGTGGCTTCCACCGACGGTTGTTATTGGAGGATAGAGGACAATAGAGAGGGGCGGCAGAGTGGGAAAGTTGAGAGGACGCTTGAGACCGCGTCATGATGGCGTGCGGTTGAATGGAGGTGACGCTTGGCTTAGGCGAGGACAGCTAGCTATAGGTACTAGCTTGCTGCTGTTATTGTCAAGTCCGGCAGCGTAGTCTGTGCACGTAGCCCTAGCGGGTGGAGAAGTAGAAAGGTTTTATTTTTTTTGGAATTGGTCGGCAGATGGCATGGACGACAGGTAGAACCACCGTGCGGTGGTAGTAGCGAAAATGGTTAACGATGTGTATTTCATGTGTCCGCCGCCATCGGCGCGTTTTCGTCCCGAAGTAATAACTCCGAAAGCTGGACGCGGAGCCTTTCGGTTAGGGATGCCACTGGCAACGAGATGAATGCGAGAATCACTTGTGAGATTTGCCAAGCTTCTTCTTCTCCGTGTGTCTCGCCATGTAGTAGGCCGTTTGTAGACGGCACCAAATGTGAACTTGTGTTGCACTTGGGGCACAGTACGGTGTCGAGATGATGTTTGGGTTAGGAGAAGACCCCAAGTGAGCAGGACTCAGTTTTTTTTTGTGTGTGCTCCCCACTACTTCTTGTAGAATAGTGGGCGGAGCTGTCAAAAGCACACGCATGCAAGGTATCAACCAGGGTAAGTCACGTAATTTCAAAACTCGTTATTTGGCCACAACCAGCGAACAACGTGGACCTCGTTTTTGGCCACAATCAACCAACAACGTGGACCGCTAAAACCTCATAACCCACACAGAACATTGATGTGGGCCCAGTCGAGCCGAGGACCATCCATATATAAATACATATGCATGCATGTACGGCAGCAATGCAGCAATGCATTCCGCACGAATAACAGGATTTTTTCCACGCTCACCGGAGACAACCACCCCGCTTCCGTGCTCAATCAACACAATTACTACAACAACCGTGAGTACAACATCACTTCGTCCTGTTACCCTTATGTCAAAGGCACCTTGGTCGGGATCAGACCTTACTTACCTTATGTGGACACTACTGGCCCACAGAAACAAATGCTACGCACCCTTTCGAATGCTGTCGCAGAGAGAGAGGCTATGAACGACTGACTGGGACCTACCTAAGTTTGCAACCTTCAGCCATCCAACCAACAACACCCAAAAAAAAAGGTGATTCTTCATGTTTTAATTTTGTACATGTTTGATCTTCTCTCTCCTACCACTCCCTACGTGGAACATGTCCACGCGCGCTGGTCCGCACACCCTGGACCTGCACAGTGCTTCCGGGGTGCGTGTCCCCCCCCGCCTCTACTCCGCTCTCCTGTCCACCCCCATGTAGTCTGTCGTTCTTCGATATGTTCTTCTCAGGCTGCTGCATGGTATCGCCTTCCTTATTGAGGTCGTTGTCCTCCTCCTCCTCCTCCTCCTCCTCCTCCTCCTCCTCCTCCTCCTCCTCCTCCTCCTCCTCCTCCTCCTCCTCCTCCCCCCCCTCTCGTTCGGTTCGCAGCCGCCCCTTGCCTTTCTTTCCTCCTTCGGTGACGATATTGCCCCCCCCGCCCGGATTGTCGCACCCGCCACCACCCCCATCCTCATCATCCGCGGCCGTAAGTTGGTTTGCCGTCTTAATGGCTTGTTTGACGTGTGCCGGAATTTTGGACCCTCCCGAGATGAGAGTGGAGGACGTCGCTACGATCCCGGACACAGGCTCCCACGACGAGTCCGGCAGTAGCTTGCGACGAGAGTTCACACGGGAAGTCGCGTCCCCTGCTATGTAGGTAGGAGAGAAGGACGCTCCGGCGTACGTGTCGAAGGACACATTCACCGCGCTGTCGACCAGGCGTTTCCTAGGGGTGTACCAGTGAAGAGCTACCTCCTCCTGCCCGTCAACTTCGCGCTTGTCGATGACCTTTCCCACAAGAAAAGGGGCTCCATCCGACAGAAAGAACGAGAAAGAGTGCATTGTGCCATGTGCCCATGTCTGTTTATCCCGCAGCCGCCGCCCCCCCCCCCTGGGCGGCACGGCAACTTTGTTGATGCTGCCGTAGACGTTCATCGAGATCGTCTCCGAACGAGCTGTCGTCATCGTCGTCGGAGAGACCGTGTGAGAGACCCCCCTCGTCGCCACCGTCGTCCAGGTCTGGTTCAGAGTCGTCGCCGGAGACCTGAAGAGGAAGCCAGGATGTGTCCAGGTCGAATGCCTTGGTTCCCGTCGTCCTTAATATTCTGAGGCTGTCGGCGTGATCCAGCTTGACGCGCTTTTGCTTTTCCGGGTCTGGATCCATTAAGGCGCGTAGTAGTTCGGGACAACGGTTTCGCAACGCTTGAGAGCTTTGTTTCTTGCAGCATCATGTCATTGACAAAGGCGAACAACGAACTCAGGATACGTCATTACCGGGGCTCTTGTACGGCAAGCAACATATTAGGATACTCTCGTTGAACGATATTGCGAAAAAAACGAAAACGTACCGCCGACGTAGGCGACTGGTAGCTTCTGCCACGAGGCTTGTTGGCGCAGCTCTACCCGGTGAATTATTTCATCCTGGACCAGTTTGAGCTCGTAGGGCGGGGTTGCCTCCAAGTGCACTGCATGTGCGTGCATCAGGCGCCAAGGGCTGAATCCGTCCCCACTCCCCACCGTCTTCCCATCTTCGCTGAAGCCTAACCAGTCCTCGTGGTGCATCTTCATCTTTACCGTCACCACCATCGAGGGCCCCTCCTTGTAGATTTTGAAAGCTTGGAAGTTGGTGATGTTTGGGATGCGTCGTGTTACGGGAGCCACCAGGTCCTTGAAGTTGGCGAGGTTTTCTAGGGTCCGGCATTTTACTTGTACCTTTTTGTAGCCGCGTCTGAAGGCGTCCCCCAGCTCCTCTCGCGTGAAGATGTCGACCCCTTTCACCGCTTTGGCGAAGCTTCGCATCAAAATGGCCAATACGACGTGGGCAAAAGGGGGGGGCACGAGACGAACAAGAAAGGTTGGGGGTGTCTTTTGTAAATGGTTGACGTCGGGATCTATTTGTCGGCAAGATGAAGATGTGGATATACGCCTTAGATCAACCGCACCCCGAGGACAAAGGCTCGATCACGAGGGATATCCATTAATTTCATCAACACATAGTAGGCGCTGCAAGACGAAAAATGTAACGTCCCTCGAACGCACAGTGGATACATACTATACGTCGACCATCCTGTGCATTATTCTTATGTGTTTCTTCCGCGACGACTACTCACCAGGAGAAAATCTGGTCGATCTGGATGTGGGTGTGGCCAACCATCATGAAGCAGAGCGTGACCGTCCTCATGATTCCCCGACCAACCATCGCTGCCAAAATGCCCATGAGGTAGTTGTTCTTGTTCTCGGCGACAGTGTTGTCCACCTGCATGGTCACGTCTCCCAGGGCATGTTCCCAGGAGAGGGTCAGTTCCATGAACTGGTAGTAAAGCGCCGTTGCGACGAGATTTGTACCTGCGACGGAAAAACGTGTCACCCCCCCATAGCACGAGAACATACATGATGAGAATAAAACGTACATACATGACGATGTCCGCAAATTCATTGGGTTTATGATACCTAGCTGTCTTTTTATCTCGCGCCACGTAGAACTAGACTTGTGCCGCGGCCCAAGCCAAACGGCGATACGCGTTGAAAGGACAAGATCAATGCAACTGAGCTCAAAACCATTGAAGACGGCGGTCGCCAATCAACGTAAATATAACGCGACTGCCAAGCGTACTTCCCTGCGTTAGAGGTGTGAGCATGGCAGTCGGGCATACTGCCTGCGCGCGGCAATGCACCCTAACACCAACCGACGCAAGCCTCATCAGCAAGCGGCGAACATTTCGATCAT